AACCCAGTCAACAGTACCACAGAAAAAAATCCTGGCAATCTGCTTCTATTAAGAACCAAGAAGACCTTTTGGAGCAGTTCTATTCTGTAACACACAGAGTCTCCCAAAGTCGGAATCGACTCAACACAACAAGGGAAGGTGAGAATAGTCATCATGACCCAAAATGAGGTAAAGGAACAGGCATTTCTAAAGTAAGCCAAATAGGAGCCTTGAAAACAATGCTGCCTTCCTCATTTTTTTGTTCTTGTCACTCTGAGTTTTTCAGATGGGTATCACACTAATAAGAACCAACACTACAGAATTCCCCATTTTATTCTTCCAGCAGCCTCCCTGTCACTTCCAACACTTAGCAACTCTTCATCACCAACACCCCAACAACCAGTGTTAACACAGGAAGAAGGAATAGAGGAAGCTGAAAATAAAACTCAAAGTCAGGGGTCATCTCACTTGCTTTTCATCCATTACTCAAAAAACAGTTAAGTTGACTGTAACCACTAATCAGTTACAAACACTTGCTAACAAGATTACCAAAATGGCAGGGCATAGTTCACCTAAAAGAATCCCTGGTGGCACAATAGTTAAGCACTAGTCAACTATCTTAAAGGTTTGAAGTTCAAACCCACCCAGTGGCTCTGTGGGAAAAAGACTTAGTGACCTGTTCCCATAAAGATTACAGCCTAGGAAACCCGATGGGGCAGTTCTACTCTGTTACATGGGGTCACTGAGTTGAAATTGACTCCCTGGCACCCAACAACAGCCCACCTCAGACACACTACTGATTAACAAAACCACCAGAACATCACAATGTCCACATAAGTGAATGGTTTCTGAGATTGGAAAGGAATCTGCATAAGTCTTAAGACCTTATCTCTCATCCCATGAACCATCCGAGCGGCACAGACTCCCTGTATAAAATGTGAAGGGTAAGACCAGAAGCACCAGCCAGAGATTCTAGGAAAAATACTCACTCTGCAGGTAGGTGCGGAGGCAGGTAAGGGGCTGATGCTACCACGCTGTTTTCTGGGAGCAGACTGTCCCTCAGGTGAACTGATAGATGAAGATGAGCTCAGGGACGAGTGGCTGAGGATAGAGTCTTCTTCGGGGCATGAGCCCAACCCCTCACTCTCCCAGGCCATACTCTCGTCCAATGGTGCTGTCTGGGGACACTTGGCCTGAGGTTTCACTGCCAGGATGTCCTGCAAGACCACCACAGGTACCTTCCCTTTGAACAGGATGTCCCTCGCCTTGCTCCACCCCAGCTGTTCCCTTTGGAAGCATGTTCTCTGACCACCAGTAAGTTCAAAGCAGCCTTGCAGTGAGCCTTTCTGCACATCTCCATGTCTCTCTGCGTCTCCTGAGCCACTGTTTTCCTCTGTGTGGCACAGAAGGCTGGGAAGGGTCTCTTCTGGAGATGCCAACATGTCGTCCTGACTGGCCTTCGGCAGGCCCCTCTGACCTTTGTTTTTCTCTCCGACATTTACAGCCTCTCTGGAGGGAGAGGCTTCAGAGTGGCACTGAATGTGGTCCACAGGGCTGCCCAGCTGGTCATTTGAGTCCTCTGTCAGGTCGATCAGGACCATAGTCTCACCAGTGTCACTTCTGGCTCTTAAAAAGTTATCTAAGGGACCCTTCCCATTTACAAGTTTTGGTCTAAATTCAGCATCTGAACCAGCATGGCAGTCATTCTCCAAGTTATCCAAAGAGGTCTCCAAGTCAGGGGCTTTACTTGGCACAGAAGCACTCTGAGAGCTTCTCACATCGTCTGAGCCACCGTCAGCCTTCTCCTTGGGGACAAGACTCAGGCGCTTGAAAGGCAAGCGAGCTGAAAGGAAGAAGAAAGGAGGCCAGCTTTTTAGCAAAGGTATAAAGACATGAGTAAGGAGCCCTGGTGGTGCAATGGTTAAATACTCGGCTGCTGACAAAGTTGGCGGTTTGAACCCACTCAGTGCTTCTCAGGAGAAAGACTTGGTGATCTGCTTATGTAAAAATTACACCCTTGGAAACTGGCTGCATGAGGCCAGTTCTGCTCAATCACATGGGGTTTCTATGAGTCAAAATCACCTTGACAGCACCCAACAACAAAAGACACGAACAATGACAATAAGTCAGTGGCTTCATACTCCGGATGCTGGAAAAATCACTGACCTTGTTGGGGTTTGGGTGGAAAATTTTTAAAGTTTAAAAAGGTACTACCTTCTCATTCTGTACTTCTTCAACATTCTAATTAAATATAATAATAATAATAAATCCAACAGGCCTTTAGCAGGCATGTTGCCAGAATTTCAAAAGAGATCTGTTTAAGAACCAGTTCAAATTCCAGATCTATTTATAATGGGTGAAAATCCCATTTGAAGATAGCCCTGAATCCGTCTTTGAAGAGCAAAATACAAAGACTCATTCATGGGAGTCCCTGGGTAGGGGAAATGGTAACTGTGCTCAGCTGCTAATCAAAAAGCTGGAGGTTCGAGTCTACTCAGAGGCACCTAGGAAGAAAGGCATGGCAAGCTACTTTATAAAACACAGCCATTGAAAACCCTATGGAGCACAGTTCTACTCTGACACACACAGGGTTGCCACAAATTGGAGCTGACTTGACAGTATTTATGGGAAAATGTATCTTTTTGCCCCAGCCTGTTTGTTGCTCTTATGGGAGAAATAAAATTAAAACCCACAAAGTCCTGTGTTGACAACCAAATAATTACCCCCAGCACCTTCCAAGCCTTGCGGAGATACATACTAACATCTAGGGAACTCAACTCCACGACCCTAGAGAACAGAGCACAGCTGCCCCACAGGGCTGCCAAGATTGTAAATCTTTACAGAAGCAGACTGCCTCATCTTTCTCCTGTGGAGCGGCTGGTAGGTTCAAACCACTGACCTTCTGGTTAACAGCCAAATGCTTTAACTACTGAGTTGCAGAGCTCCTTAATATCTAGGGGGAACAGGCCAATTCAGAGGAGTGAATGTCCCAGGGAGCCTATATTTACTTAAATGCCAAAACATTTTCCATTAAAAAAAAAAAAAGGGAAAACTATTCTTAATTATGTCTTTAGTATGATGTCCTTGAGGTCTTAAAGGTTTTGCTCCTAAGCCTTTATCCCAAGAAGAGGATTCCCACCAACACCAAACCCGGTACAAATTATCCCTATGAAGAGGCCAATCACTTGTGCTTGGGGGCGGAGGGCAGACAGCCAAATTTCAAAAAGCAAAAAGGACACTTTTTATGCAATGCAGCTAAGGCTTAACAATAAAGGCACTCCCTTTATTTAATGAAGGAATTGGAGACATTTATTGGCCTATAGACAGCCACAACAGTGGGCTCCCACACCACCACTCTGAAGATGGTACAGGGCCAAGCAACATTTGTTTGGCAATCTTTGCAACTGACTCCAGAGCGACCAGCGTAACATCTTCCTGACAAGCACTGCTTCACAGCCAAGGGCATTGCTGCCTCCCTGGAGAGCCTGGCGATGTCTGGAGATATTTCTGGTCGTCGTAACTTTAGGGATGGGAATGAGGATGAGGAGGCTACTGGCAGCCAGTGACACTGCTCAACTCCCTACAGCACACAGGAGAACTCCCCATGATAATTCTCTGAGCCCAAACTGCCAAGGGTGAGAAACCCTCCTATAGCAGCAGTGACCTCTGGGTCTGTTGCTGGTCCCAAGAGGGCACTGTTGTCATTAGGTGCCATCAAGTTGATCATCCCATAGGGTTTCCTAGGCTGTGATAGTCACAGGAGCAGATCACCAGTCTCTCTCCTATCAAGTGGCCAGGGGGGTTGCAACCACCAATCTTTTGATTAGCAGCAGCCAAGTGCTTACCTGTTGTGCCACCAGGGCTCCTTAGGGGAAAATTAGTGTAACAAAATGGGTGTCCCAACTTGCTGTTCTCAGTAGCAACTGTTTTTTCCCTCCAGTCCCTCAATTCTTTTGCTGAGGGTGCCAACAAATGGCTTTTGCTCCAGGAGAATTAAAAATATAACCGAGAAGATGAAGGACAGAAGTCATCTTCCTATAAACAGCCACAACAGTGGGCTAAAGGACTTAACCTGTCCCCAGAAAGTTACCTTGTATTAACTTCTTGACTGGAAATGCTGGTCTGTCTTTGCAATCCATGGCTGTGGATGAAAGTGTCAAAGGACATATTACTAAATATTGTAAGCAGTTAAGCCAGCACATACACATGTACAACCTATTATTGTTGTTGTTGTTGTTGTACGCCGTCGAGTCAGCCCCGACTCATAGCGACCCCTCCTTGGGTTTCTGAGGCAGTATCACTACGGAAGTAGCATTGCCCAACCTTCCTTCTGAGGAGTGGCTGGTGGGTTTGAACCGCCAGCCTTCTGGTTAGCAGTCAAGTGCCTTAGGCACTATGCTACAACCTATTATATACAAAGAAATTCTACAATGGAAGTGCTTCTGCCCCGCCCCCAACACTTGGCAATGTAGAGACAATTGTGGCTGTCATGACTCAGGAGGGAGGTGCTACTGGCATTGAGTGGGTGGAAGCCAGAGATGTTGCTTAAAACCTTACAGCATACAGAACAGGCCCACTCCAGAGAAGGATCTGGCCCAAAACTCAACAGTGCCAAGATGGAGAAACACTGTCCTAGACACTATTATATTTTTGGTTTTATCTTCCTGTGACTGAAACATTTGTGTTTATTATGTCTCCCACATAACAACATAAAAATCTATCACAGTGGGGGAAAGAGAAAAGTGGGTAGAGTAAAGGAAAGATAAAACTGTTACCATCTTCACAATGAACATGGGGTCGCCATGAGTCAGATCCACTCCAGGCAACTAAAGCAACAAATGACCCTAAAACTTCCTCCTCCCACCCCTGCCCCCTCACAAATCTGTAAATTTAGAATGGGTTCACTTCCTTTTTAAATGGGTTATGACAGTGATACAGTGTCAAGCATTTTGAGCTTGTCAGGCAGAATCTGAAGTGCTGCCAAGAAGTAAGATGGGAGAACACTTTCCGGCACCAAAAAATCCCTCAAGAAAAGCAACTAATAATATCAAAGCTCCTCCAAAGGAAGACTGGGCAATTTACTTCAGCAGAAATACCACCTGGGAAACCCAAAGAGGGGTCGCTATGAATTACAATCAACTCCACAGCAGTGAGTTTTGTTTTGTTTTTTTTGGATGCAGAAATGACCATAAATAGTAACTTTAAACAGTTAAAATAAATTTAGAGCTCACACCTGCTAGAAGACCTGGCCAGGGAAAATCTAGTTTCGTTACTTGGGCGAGATATATGCATTATTTTTTAAAGGCAGACTACTGAGGCTTTCTAAAAATGCCAGCTGTCCACAGATGAAACTGCTTCCCCCACCCCTGCAAAGGTTAGCAAAAGGAGAAGGTACTCAGAAAGTTCACATTTCCTACCTGCCCATTTCAGGGAAATGAAGGCAACACCATATGCACCTTCTCAGTTACAAGAAAACATGGATTTGTTTTTCCCTCTCAACTGAAACACACAGAATCTTTAGCCACTTAAGCTTTTCAGGACAAGCACTAGATTTATTTGCACAACCCTGAGACACTAGCTTTGATGTAAACAGAATTTTAATGTAAAGGGACCCGGGCCCAGAAGCAACCTCAGGTTGACATAAAGATGGACCCATCCAGGGATCCAGGCTGCTCCAATTAACATACAAATGTGTATAAAGCTGCCAGCTGCTCTCTGTTCTGAGATTATATCCTTCCTAACGGGTCCGACTCAGATGGCACATACAACAATTTTGATATTAAAGCATCCTTTCAAGATAGCATGGTCACAGACCAAACCCAACTCAACCCACTGCCATCAAGTCAATTCTGACTCATAGCAGCCCACGGAGGGTTTCCAAGGCTGCAAATCCTTACGGAAGCAGATTGCCTCATCCTTCTCCTGTGCAGCAGCTGGTGGGTTCAAACCACTGACATTTTGGTTAGCAGCCCAATGCCTTAATCACAGTGCCACCAGAGCTCCTTAGGGTCATAGAAAGTGGTGGTATTTTTTTCCTTTTCTAACACCCTTAATTGGTCAAAAAAAAAAAAAAAAAAAAGATCAAAGCTCCACGACAAACTCCCCTGACTTCCATTAATTTTACATCTCTGTGAAATCCCAAAGTCTGGAAACCATTAGAATTGTGGTCGAATGTGAGTGTGTGTGTGTGTGCCAGGTGTCGAGGTGGGGATTATGCCTTCCAGGGTACACCTGTGGAGACATCTGTGGTTGTCACACTTTGAGGGGGGATGCTATTGGCATCAAGTGGGTGAAGGCCAAGGAGGCTGCTCAACACCCTACAAGGCACAGGACAGACCTCCAAAACATGAATGTATCTGGGCCCAGATATAAATATGGGCCTGAAATGCAGGCAGAGAAGAGTGATTCTGAGCCCCAGAGGATACTTGGTGACATCTGGAGACTTTGTGGCTGTCACAACTTAAGGGATGCTACTGACATTAAGTGGAGGCTGGGGATGCCATTCAATGCCCTACAATGCCCAGAATGGCTCCACCCCAAAGAACGATTGGCCCCTAATGTTGGTGTACTACAGAGTTAAATATCTCCAATATTAACCAAACACCTATTCACTAACACCTAGTTCAGGGGTTTCACTCAGGGCAACTCTTCTCCTAGAGGACACTGGCAATGCCTGGAGACACTTGGGGTTGTCAATGGAGAAGAGAGTGCTATGGCATGGAGTGGGTGGAGGTCAGGGATACTGCCCAACACCCTACAGTGCACAGGACGGCCCCACCCTAGAGAAGGATCCCGCCGTGTCAGCAGTGTCCAGGCTGGGAAACCCTGGGCTCCACTAGTTAATGCCCCTTCCAGCCCTTAAATACTATGGGTCAAGCATCGTTCCAGGTGCTGGGGACTCAATGGGAAGTCAAGCAGGAGAGAAAGGCAGTCTGTGCTTCCTTGGTACAACCCTACCTTTTAGGGCATGCTATGTGGTAGAAAGACCCTATAATATGGAGAGAAAAAAGACGATTCATCACTTTGTGTAGCAGGCAGGATCAAGACCCCACGGGTCTCAGCTCCCTGACGTCCCCCATCCCGGCCTCTTACCTGGGTTTGCCCGGACCTGCAGACGCAGCTGTTCTGGCCCAAGCCGTGTGATCTCGGGCCTCAGTTTCCCCACCCGACCAGAAGGTCTCTGCAAGACTCAGAGACCGCAAAAGCACTCGGTAACTTGCAAAAGCTGGCCCTTTCGCCTCCCTGCGCCTTAGTTTTCCCTCTTGGACCCGTCACCCTCGAGCGCCCTGGAAGGACGAAATGACGCAAAAGCGCCGGAAAAAGATGGTCGTGGCCGCAACAATAACGTCAAAGAGGGCGCCCTGCAGGTCACAAGGTCTTTCCTCGGGATTATAACGGCCCCATGGGCTGAACGCCTGGCGCGCAGGAGCAGGCGCGGGGCCCAGAAGCCCGTTTGTCCCCAACCGCCGCCTCTAGTTCTCACAGGCCGCGCGCCGCGCCCCCCCCTCCCCGGGGCACGGGCCCGGACCCACCTGCGGCGGCTCCCCTGGCGCCCGGCGCCCCACACTCCGGCTCCTCTAGCATCGCTCCGGCGGCGGCTCGATCTCTCCACGGGGCGGGGAGGCGGCGGAGGCGGCGGAGGCGCGGACTCCCCTCAGGCGGCCGCTGCTGCTCCCCCTCCCGCCCGCGCCGCTGCTGCCGCGGCCGCCGCGCTCGTATTTGGCGGGAACCGCGGCGACCCCCGCACAACGCGCGCCGATTGGGCGAGGCTGTATCACGTGACGGACCATCTCGGGAACAGGGGACTGTCGAGAACATCCTCGCGAGAGCCGTTGCTTCCATTCTCCCATGGCTCCCCTATTGATATTACTGAGGACGGGGCGGGGTGGGGTGGAGAGAACTTTCTCTCCGCCGCCTGTCATTGGTGAGAGGAGATGCGCTTCGATTAGCGGAGAGAGTTGTCAAACTTAGATATAAGCCCTGTGATTGGCTAAAATGCGTGGGATTGGTCGGTAGGAGGAGAGAGGGCCAGGCTTCACGTCATGACGCGAACGTACTACGTAAGACGCCGAGTGACAATTTGCGAACTGCGTTTTAAATGAAGCTCTTAAGTTTTGAATTTATCCTAATTAGATATCAGCTGAGTCGCCGGCATGTAATAACAACAACAACAGATATCAGCTGAATACCCAACAGCAATTAATATTACAAATTACTCATAAATGAGCAATAAAGTAAAAGCTGGGCTGCCCTTCAGAAGGCTTTGACATGCAGCGAATATATTTAAAAAAAAAAAAAAAAACTCGCTGTTGTATAGTCGATTTGACTCATAGCGACCCCTCCTTAGGTTTCCCAGGAGGTATCTCTACGAAAGTAGATTGCCCAATTTTCCTTCCGAGGAGTGGCTGGTGGCTTCGAACTGCCAGCCCTCTGGTTAAGCAATCAAAAGCCTGAGGCACTTCGCCACCAGAGCTCACCCAATAATATATTGGAAGTGAGTGGATAGAACGAAAGTTTCTGGGTAAATTCCCAAGACATGCCGTTATCTCTGCCTAAAAGCCCTCTTTCCGCAGCTCTAATTTATACCTAGCCTTCAGATGTCAGATGACACCTCAAGGAAGCCTTTCCTTCCCCACCCCCAACACGATCCGGCGCATCCAACACTTTTTAACAACTTGTGTCTATTAACGTGTTATTTGATTAATTAATTTTATTTGTTGATGAGTTTAATCAGAGCAGAAATGGTGTCTTTTTTGTTCATCGCTGTAACTCACATTCCCATCAAGTCCGTTCTGACTCAGAGCGACCCTATAGGACAGAGCAGGACTTCTCCATAGGGTTTCCAACACAGTAAACTCTTACGGAAGCAGACTGCTTCACCCATCTTCTGGAAACTGGCTGGGGGGTTGAACCACAGAGGTTTAGGTTAGCTACCAAGAGCTTAAACACTGCGCCATCAGGGAGCCTACATACATAGTAGGAGTTCGATAACTATTTGAGTGAATAAATATCATTTGATTGAACTGTGTAGGTCATGCAGGTTAAAAGTTTCATACCGAGGTGACCCTCCGTGTCAACCAACAAATACTATAAATAGTATAAATTAGGCATTAATTTAATGTTTGAGAGAAGCAGAGGCAAACAAAGATTGAAACTTAGCTTGAGTTTAAAACGCCACTGCAGTATATTGGACAATTAAATCTATTGGGCAAAGGGCATTGAGAAATAGGGAATTGGGGAACATCATTTTAAGCAAGTCATGTCACATCCCTCAGGAATTTGGTTTTCCCATCTGCCGCATGAGGATGTTTTCCTTCCTGTCTCTGACATTCCGACATTCTGTGATGATTTAGACCAGAGGGTCACAGTTAAAGGTGTGTGTCAGAATCACATGGGGAAGTTTTTCAAAGCCCCCTATAACAGCTTTACCTAGCACATAAAGACCTTAGGAAGTGAGGCCAGAGCATGTGTATTCTGGAAAAAGCCTGGGCTGGAGACTCTGACTAATCTATAATCTAGCCCACGACCTCTGTCGAGCATTTGGAAGCTTCTGACAATCTTCTGCTTTCAGAAAATCACCAAAATCTGTGAGATTTCAACATAGAAGTTCCAAGCACTTTGTATTTAATCACGTTCTTGTTTTTCTTCATCTAATTGATCTATTTACTTTTTATTATTATTTGGGTGAAGGTTTACAGAGCAAATTCATTTTCCATGAAGCAGTTCATACACATTTTGTTTCATGACATTGACCGCAATCCCCACAATGTAATAGCTCTCTTCCCACTTCCTCCCGGTAGTTACCTCTTCTCTGTGTCCTTCTTTCCTATGCTTTCTTGTTCTCTGAGCTGTCTCCGTGTGCAAACACTGTTCACCCCATATGCTTTCTATTGTTTGACTGGCAGCCACAAGAGGGAGTTCAATTCCAGACCTGAAGAGTAACTAGGGGCCAGAGTCTCGGGGGTCTCAACAGGCTCTATCAGACCAGCAAATGTCTTCTTTTTATGATTTGGAGCTTTGTTCCACATTGTTCTCCCACTCTATCAAGATCTCCTTCACTGATCCCTTTCTGAGTGCTTGACATTGATAGCCAGGCACCATCTAGTTCTTCTGGTCTCAGGGTCATATAGGCTGAGGATTGCATAGTCTGCTAGTCCCTGGACTAATTACTTCCATGCATCTTTGGTCTTCTTCATTCTTCTTTGTTCTGATGTTTTTGTTTTTCTTCCCAATTCATTTCTAATCCTTCTAATAAACTCTTACAGTGCACTTTCTCTTTGTCAGACCCCATCTAGGTCCTGGAAAACATATTCATCAATTTATTCAACAAATAGTTATTATCATCAGGCAAGGTGCTATAATGCGAATGAAAATTTTATTCCACTCTTCCAGGAAACAGACCCATAAGCAGGCTATTCCACCATACATGTCACGGTATTCAGGGTTTCTCCATAATATTACTGTTTATGTTTGAGGCCAGACCATTCTTTGGGAAGGGGGCTGTGCCACACATTGTGTGATGTTGAGTGGCTTCTACCCACTGAATGCCAGTGGCATAGCCCCCCCCCCCATACACAGTCATGATTACCAAAAACATCCCAGACACTGCCAAGTATCTCCTGGGAAGGGAGCAGCAGCATCCCTGGCTAAGAAACACTGTGATAAACACGTACATAAAGTGATTAATAAAGCCACCCTGTGTTTACCCCTCCTATAACATATCCTCAGTTGAAGCATTTGAAATATTTAGCTATCTTCTGCCCTCAGGAAAGCACTTACCTCTGCCAGAGATTTCAGCACAGATATTTGAAGCTCTTTACCTCTAATCAAGGAGCTCTGGTGGCACAGTGGTTAAAGCATCTGGCTACTAACCAAAAGATCAGTGGTTTGAACCCACCAGCCACTCTGCAAGAGAAAGGTGAGTCAGTTGGCTTCCAGAAAGATTGATAGCTTTGGAAATCCTATGGGGAAGTTGTACTCTGTGCTATAGGGCCACTAGGAGTCAGAATCACCTCTATGGCAGTGAGTTTTGCAGGGAATTCATTTAAGGTGAGAGCACCAGCAAGGAGGTTGGTGGAATGGTCTTGCCAGAGCAAAAGGGATAGTGGGAATGGTGGAAAAGAGGTATAAGGTAAACCCAGATGTCTGATTTAGGCAAATAAATGAACACAGGGCAGGGTAGAGGGGAGGGGCTAAATATACAGAGGAACTGAGAACAGTTGAGATTGTTGTTGAGTGCCATGGCCAACTCCTACTGATAGTGACCTCATGTGACAGACTAGAACTGCCCCCATATGGTTTCCTAGGCTGTAATCTTTATGAAGGAGTCCTGGTGGTATGGTGGTTAACCACTTGGCTGCCAACCAAAAAATCAGCAGTTCAAACCCATCAGCAACCACATGGGAGAAAGATGAGGCAGTCTGCATAAAAATGTGTTGTTGTTGTTGTTAGGTGCCTTGAGTCAGCTACCACTCGTAGCCACCCTGTGTACAACAGAATGAAACACTGCCTGGTCCTGTGCCAGCCTCACGATCCCTGCTAGACCTGAGCCCATCATTGCAGCCACTGTGTCAATCCATCTCATTGAAGGCCTTCCCCTTTTTCGTCAACCATTCATTTTACCAACCATAATACCCTTCTCCAGGGAATGGTCCCTTCCGATAACATGACCAAAGTAGGTCAAATGAAGTCTGGTCATTTTTGCTTCCAAGGAGGATTTTTCCACTCCTTGGGTTTCCCAGGCGGTATCTCTAGGGAAGTAGATTGCCCAGTCTTCCTTCCAAGGAGTGGCTGGTGGGTTTGAACCCCCTGCCTTTTGATTAGCAGTCAGATGCCTTAGGCACTACGCACCACCAGAACTCCCTTGAGGAATTGAGAGAGAGGAACGTAGAGGCAGCTCCGGGACCACAGGGGACGCTGCAGCTACATGGCCCATCTAGGCTTGCACTGGTCCACTCGCTGATGTAGGCGGACTCTACCGCGGCGGGCCAAGTGTACGTGAGCTCCCCGGCCGGCAGGGGGCGCGCGTGCACAGACGGGGTCGGAGCGCGCGGAGGCCGGCGCCGGAAGTGTGTGGTTGCCATGTAATATCCTGGCCGCGCGGGCGCGCGAGGGGCTGAGGCGGCGCCGGGGCGGGCGCGGAGGTGGCGAAAGGGCGGCTGAGGCGGCACAGACGGGGCCGCTGAGGTGCGCGAGGGATCGACGGCTCTGGGGAGCCTGTCGCTTGCGCGGTCTGTCTGTCCAAGTCGCTTGTCCGGGCAGGAGGCCCGACGGCGGGAAGCAGGATGTCGGTGGCGGGCTTGAAGAAACAGTTTTACAAGGCGAGCCAGGTGAGCGGGGGGCCGAACGGAGCGGCAGGCTGCCGTGAGTGGGGGGTCGGAGGGCCGGCTCAAGCATGGGAGGAGAAGCATGAGGACGCTGAGGTGGCGCCGTTGGGACGTGTCTCCCGCAGGAAGAAGGCGCCCAAGGCGAGCGGGGGGCTACGAGGGGGGCCAGGCCTTGCCCACCGTGGAGGCTTCAGTCTTCTGGAAGGGTGGGCAGAGGGGGAAACAGAGCTGCACCCGGAGTTGTCCGGGGACGGGGACCCCTCCCTTCTGAAGGAGGGAGCTGAAGGGGAAGCACTGTGCCCCGAAGCTGTCGACACCGGAACTTACTCTTGCTAGACAGCCCGGGGCCAGGGAAAATCTAATTGAAAGAAAAATCCTTGCAATAGACCTGGGCCACAATTGCAATAGTTAAAGTGAAGGGACGCTGCTACCCTGTCTCTCAGACATCCCGAGACACAAGGCATTCCAAGAGACAAGGACTGTCACCAGTATTTTCTGTCTCCTTCCAAAGACGTGTGTACACCTTTACTTTAAAAGGCACACACAATGGTTGTGGTGCTTGTTAGTTGCCGTGGAGTTGATTTAAGAGTGAACCCCAGTAGAACTGCCCCATAGAGTTTCCTAGGTTGTCAACTTGAAGGGAGCAGATTGCCGGGTCTTTCTCCCGCAGAGCTGGTGGGTTGATTCCAACACCTGGTTAGCAGCCGAGCACTTAACCATCGTGCCACTATCCTCTATGTGCGTGTGCACCTTGTGTGTCTCCTGAAGTATGGCTTGGAGATCACACTGGAGCTGGGTTTTTCCACCCTCAACACTGTTGACATGTGGGGCCGTCCTGTGCACTGTAGGGTGTTGAATGCATCCCTGGCCTCCATGCCTGTAGCACCCCCCCCCTACACACACTCGTGACAACCACAGATGTCTCTGGACATTGCTGGTGTCCTGGGAACAGGGGGCAGAATCACCTCCCGTTCCTCCTTACTTCTCAGAATGACTGCTCTAACCTGCTGGAGCTCCTTGGAGTTTTTTAACAGGTACATGGTATTCTGTTCCATGAAGTATGTTGTTATTAGGTGCTGTTGAGTTGGAGATTTTTTGGGGTATAAGCTTTATGGGAGCAGATGGCCAGGTTTTTCTCCCATAAAGCTACTCCAAACAAACAAACCAAACTCACTGACGTCAAGTCGGATCCAACTCATAGTGACCCCTCCTTGGGTTTCTGAAGCAGTATCACTACGGAAGTAGATTGCCCAACCTTCTTTCTGAGGAGTGGCTGGTGGGTTTGAACCGTCAGCCTTCTGGTTAGCAGTGAAATGCCTTAGGCTCTATGCCATCGGTGCTAGATGGGATTCAAACCACTGACCTTTTGTTTAGCAGTTAACCTTTCCAAGTGTAACCATTGAGCCACTAGGGCTCCTCCATGAAGTATACCAAAAAAACCAAACCCACTGCCGTCAAGTCGATTCCAAGTCAGAGACCCCCATTGGATTTCTGAGGTGGTAAATCTGTATGGAAATAGGCTGCCCCAACTTCCTTCTGTAGAGCAGCTGGTGGGTTAGAACCACCAGCCTTCTGGTTACCAGTCAGATGGCGTAGGCACTGTGCCACCAGAGCTCCTTGTGAAGTATATACCATTGTTCAGTTAACCAGTTGTCTGTTGTTGCTGTTATGTGCCGTCGAGTCGGACGCAACTCATAGCGACCCCTCCTTGAGTCTCTGTGGCAGTATCACTACAGAAGTAGATTGCCCAACCTTCCTTCCGAAACTAATTGTCTATTGGTGGACAATTAGATTGTTTTCAGTACTTTTTGTGGCTACAAATAATACTATACTGAATAGCAAATGAGTGTCTTTGCTTATGAATGCATCTGGATATATACACAAATACCCAGAAGTAGAATTCAGAATCCAAGATTATATGCATTTTGCCCATGACAGACATTATAGGTTGCAAGTCCAGGCCCCATTGTTTACAAACGTGGTGAAAGCCATGGATCCGCTTTCCAGAAAACTGGGCAGATGCAAAATTTTATTTATAATTTTTAAGGGCCCAGCTCCTTGAATCTTACTAATCCATGTATCCCAGGCTAAGAATCTTAGATAAGGAGCTTGTGTGAATGGATTCCATGGAGGAAAAGCCACGATCCTAAGAATTATCTGGGCTCTGCCCACAAGATGGACAGATTGGAAGGAAGAAAAAATGAGGAACAACAACAAAAAGCATTTGCCTGTGTAGTCGATTCTGACTCATGGCCCCATGTGTGTCAGAATACAACTGCCCCATAGTGTTTCTAAGGCTATAATCGTTATAGGAGTTCTGACTCATGGCCCCATGTATGTCAGACTATAACTGCCCCATAGGGTTTCCAAGGCTATAATCTTTATAGGAGCAGATTGCCACATCTTATTCCAGTTGAGTGGCTGGGGGGTTTGAGTCGCCAGCCTTTTGGTTAGCAGCTAAACACTTAAACATTGAGGCACCAGGGCTCAGTTCTGCTATGTCACATGAGGTCACCATGAGTCAAAATCTCCTTGATGGCACCAAACAACAAGCTTAGGCCCTGATGAAATCCTGCCTACAGGAAAAATGTTGCCATAGTTTTAGGAGAATTCTTGGGACACTTTGTTGCCTCACATAGACAGAAGCCCTCCTCCCCTCCCCCACAAGCTCTTAGGACGCCAATACCCAGAGTGGTGGCCTGTTCCATTCCAAGCAGACACCCTGCCAGAGGGACTAGCCAGGCTTCCCAGGCCACCCACTGGAACTTACTTTCTCAGGGGGAACAAGATGCCTTGCATTTAAATTTGTGAAAAGTGCTTTGAAACCTAGAAAGCACCCGATAAGCTGGCTGTTAGGCTCCTACTGTCATCTCAACATCCTGAGGCCCAGTCCCAAAGAATCACTGTGATGACCGTGTTTAGCTCCAACAACCGTCTTCCCAGCTCGGAGCAGCTCTGTACTGAGTCGTGTGTCCCGCAGCCCCGTCTGTGTTCCATTCTGTCCTGGTCTGTTCTTTTGTGCACTTGTTCCTTTGGTTCTCCACCATCTTGACTGGTTGTGGGTATGTGTCCATCTGTTTGTTTCCTTTTTCTCTCATCCTTAGTGACTACCACCTCTTCCACCACCTTGTCTGCCCTAGAATAGCATAGTCTCTTCAAGAGAGATGGCAGTCTTTAATAGTAATTACTGGTATCTCCTGAGTTCTCACTGTATGAACTGGCAATGTGTTTCACATCAGTGGTTCTCAAACGGGGGGGGGGGAGATTCTGTCCCCCAGGGAATACTGGAAATGTCTGAGGATGTTTGTGATTGTCATGACTTGAGGGGGTTGCTGTTGGCAGCGAGGGGGTGGAGGCCAGGGCTGCTCCTCAACACCCTACAGTGCACAGGATGGCCCCACTGCAGAGAAGGATCCAGCCCCCCATGTCAGCAGAGCCGAGGGAATGCTATAAAGTTGGAGAAAAGTAAAAAAAAAAAAAAAGTTGGGGAAAAATGAAGACCCCAAGACTGCCTTGTTTTTCCGGGTCTTACTAGTGTCTGCCTTTGACAGGATGCAGTCCTACCAGTTTTCTATCACTCGTTTTAGTGGAAAATATTTAAGTTTTTCTTTTATGACAAGTTTCCACCTTACTCGGTTCTGGCTTTCGTGTGTGTGTGTGTGTGTATGTACGTATAAACACACACATGTGTATACGTACATGCACACACTTTCCCCGATGGGCCATTCTTGTGGTAGTGGCCCGATTTTCCTAGTTTTCAAAAGACCGTCAGAAGCACATATACGCAGTTGGGCACTGACATGAAACTCCCTCCCCAGGCCCGGAGGGTCTCTGGTATTGTGAAGCTTCCACCCGTGCTTCTGAACCAGGGACGTTTCACGCCTTAGGTTCACTTTGCGGTGTCTGGAGAGGTTTCATTTTTCACATCCTGCGGGGAGGGTAGTGGGTGGAGGTCAGGGATGCTGCTCAACACCCACCCCTGAAGAATTATTGGGCCCCAAAGGTCAGAAGAGCTCAGGTGGAAAAGCCTTGTTTTAAAACAGCTTCTTGGTGTTTCAAAGGCTTATGACAGTGTTGTTTCTAAATTGAGAAAGAGAAGCCAGGTGGAAGTGAGAGAGAACTGGAAAAAATAAACTTGTTTCCAGCAGGTGAGGTTGTGATATACGCATATGTGCGTGTGTATGTATTTGTGTATGTGTGGTAAATATCTAGGTCACGTAACAGTTGTCATTTCAATACTTCTTATGTATAGTTCAGTAACATTAAAATATGTTCATCGTGATGTTTACCTATCACCATTCCTGAATTAGGCTGTGAGATTAATTAAAAGGAGCTCATTAAGGAGCTCTGCTGGTGCAGTGGTTAAGGCATTGGGCCACTAACCTAAAGATCAGTGGTTCAAACCCACCAGCCACTCCACAGGAGATAGATAAGGCAGTCTACTTCCGTAAAGACTTCAGCCTTGGAAACCCTATGGGGCAGATCTGCTCTGCCCTTTAGGGTCACTATGAGTCAGAATTGACTCAATGGCAGTGGGTGGGGAAGCTCATTAAAGAACCTTGGGGGTTTTAGTGATTAAGCACTTGGTTTCTAACAAAAAGGTGGCTGTTTGATCCCACCAGTCAGCGGAAGAAAGATACGGCTGTCTGCTTCCATAAAGATTGTTGTTGTTGTTAAGTGCTTTCAAGTGGATTATGAGTCATAGCAACTCTGCACATCAGAGTGAAATGCTGCCTGGTCCTGTACTGTCCTCACAGTCATTGCTATACTTAGCCTGTTGTTGCAGCCGGTGTCAATGCATGTCATTGAGGGTCTGCTTTTTCACTGACCTGCTGTACCAAGCATGATGTCCTTCTCCAGGAGCTTGTTTGGGGCAGTTCTGCTCTGTCACATAGGGTCACTGTGAGTTGTAATCGATTTGACAGCAGTGGATTCTTTTAATGTCTCGTTAGCCCTCTGCTGGGTATAAGTGGTTAAGTGCTCAGTGACTAGCCAAAAGGTTC